TTTCTTTATTTTGTAGGTGGTGGAAAAAGTGCGTTTAGCATTAAAGGTTTAATTATAATGTGAAATGATACTGATTCGCTATTTCTATGCCATTTATGCATTATAGGTATAACTATGTATTGTCGGCAGCATTTGATAGCGCTGCACAAATTGCGACAATGGTTATTTTCTTTTTTCTCAATGGTGTTGTTAAGGTAAGTCGATCATCCAATATAAAACTTTTTTTATCATAGCTGCAGTTTCATACGTATTTTCACATATGATTTATTGTCTTTAGACGCCGTTTCCGGAGTGGTGGGGTAACGATAAGATTTCTCAAGGAGAACGTTGTTTTAACAATGAATAATTTCGTACCAACGAGACAATATTATAATGCTAGAATAATATTAATTTACACATAATATTAATAAAAAATAATAATGCTGTTTAGTAATAATTTTTGCCACTACGTAAGTTTTATGTACTGTACGTAGTAGATTAATATTAAATTGCATTTTATTATTTAGTGTTTTTTTCTCCGGTCGAGTTTAATACACGATATAGTGCGAGTGATTTTATTCTTATTATTTTTTATTTGACAATGGAACTTTTTCAGTTAAATCTTTCAATGTATAAATAAAAAGTCTTTAGTCATTATAAATTATTGTACGCACATTTTTAAAGTTCTGGTGTTTACGTAATTACGGTTACTATACTTACATAATTTCAATTATAGCTTCTTCGTATATACGTAGTGTAGTTATAGTGTGTTGCATAGTCAACTTAGATCGGTTATTGGTGGCGTAAGTTCATCTTTTTAAATCCCATGTACATTCATTCTTTTTAATTTGTATAATTATCAAATAATGGGGTTATTAAAAGTCGTGAGCATGGCTTAAAAAACCATGTAAGGCATCAAAATTTGAATTATAAAGTACAAAATAGGTTGTAAATTGGTGAAAATTTATAAACATGATTTTGCCCTATGTATTAAAAAAGAAAACAAAAAGGATATTCTACAAGAAAGAACAACAAGAAAAGACATCTATGCATCGATCTATTATCTAAAAGAATTATAATTATGTGAATCTTAAAAAAAACAGTTTTCATAAAAACTTATACTGTTTGACTTGCATCTAAGATTCCTTTTGCTACTACATCCACTTTAACTTCAGCATTATTGGCATGTATCGTGACAACGCCCTTTACTTCACCAACCGCTCTCGGTTGAAATCGTACAGGTATAATAGAGACACCTTCAGGTTTAACTACAACACTATTCATAGGAAGTGATAAAACAAACTTGCCTCCAGGGCCTGTTGTTGTTTCGCATTTGCAATGAAGTCTAACTGTTTCTTTAGCAGTATTAGTTATTTTAATTCCCATTGAACGCTGTTTCCCAACTCTTGTAGCTGGAATGCGAATTTCTGTCTCATCAACTTCAAATTTTACTTCCTTCTTAGGAGCTCGGTGTTTTTGCAATAATGAACTAAAGGTATTTTCTGTCGCAACCCCTTGAAATTTCATGCTAACTGCATCTACACCATTAGTTCCACCTTCTGTTGTACCTTCTAAAACGAAGGTTTGCATATATGTTCCTACTCCCATAGGCCGAAATTTTACATCAACCCTATCTGCATTTTTTGGTCTTAAAACACCACCCAATTTTGTGATATAAAAAATTTCATCATCTACTTTTTGTGCCGCATTTGTAGCGGTTCCCAAACGACGAAACAAAGGTCTATCGACCTGAGCAAACCCCCACGTAATTATATTATCGGTAGGATTAAATATATGAAACACACCAATTGTTGTTTCACGCACATTAGCAGATGGAAGATTTATTTCACCAGGAACTCCTATATGAATAAAATTACTGCTCGTGAGTGGTTCTTTAAGTGGTTTCATTTCATATTCATCATCATCAATTGGTGGCAATTGTGGACTAGGTTTTCGTCTTATTTGATTATTAGATCTATCGGGATCCGGTGTATTTGAACGACTCCTTGAAGGTGCACGAGAACTAAGTGAAGAGCTGCTAGTCTTGTTTCTAATATTCCGAACCGTTTTTCTACCGGGATCGGGTGTTCGTGATCGACTATTGAGGCCTGATTGTGAAGGAGAAGGTGATAAGCTATGATCGTGTTTAGACTTTTTGTCATTGCTTGGAGTACTTGGTGGTGATTCTGCTACACCGTTTATTGAGCCAACTGCAATTATATCAATAGGGATTTATTGGAGGGTTTTTTTTTTTTATTAGTTATTATGCTACGAGAACTCAAATATTTTTGAGCAGAACTATTCTCAAGCGTATTTGGCCCGACATACCTTCATTCTCAAGTATTGTTGGAAGAACAGGTTGAACAGATTGGGCAGTAAAATACTCACTTGCATCAAATTTACTCTCTGAGGGCTTAAATACCTCCAGTGTTGACATTGTGTAAAGAAA